AGTGGGAAAGAACAATCAAATCACGTAATTTGGAGAAAGTCATGTCAAAATTGTGGAAAAGACAAAGGTTTCAGTCTCTTGGTAGCTTTAGAAGCTGATCTCTAACTGGTGTTTGTTACAGCTTTTCACTGGGTACCTGGGGGATAGGTATGGATGGAAAAGGAGGAAAAGAGGAAGAAAAAGCTGTGGGAGTCTCCCAGTGCACTTCCAAATCTTGGCAAAAACCATATACAAGGCAGACAACCCCATTGCATCCATTTCACCCTAGGAGAGCAGTCACTGCTTTGGCTTTATCTGCAGCCGGAGGTGACCTTAATAATGACTTTTTTGTCCTTTTAATTTTTAGCATAAGCTTTAAAATACATTACAGTGTGTTTTACTGCAAAGTCAGTCCTCTTCACTCAGGAAACTGTCATTTTAAGCAGAAACAACACAAAATATTTCATTCCAGTGTCAAGAAAACAAGAACCAGCATTTCTTTAAAGTGCTCCTGGGGCTTTGACAGAGGAAAAACTGATTTCTATGTCCAGGAGAAACCCAGTGTCTGTGTGGGAACCATGGGCCAGGCTGCAGCTCCAGTCATGCAGGGGAGCACGATGTTTCTCAGAGACTCCCGCATCAGCAAATTGAAATTTTGAGGTGCAAATTAACTTCAGGCTCACACAGCGTGGCTAGAAACGTTTTCCAGTTCTTTAAGCAAATCCTCGAAAAGGAGGCGAATCCACAATAAGCAAACACCGCCAAAACCCCAATGGGCAGCTGCTCAGCCTTCCCCCTGGTTAACAAAGGCTAATTCGGGTATTTATTTTAAAAGTTTTTATATATAAAACTGCACTATATGGTACCTACAGAAGAAAACTCTAAATTGGGAAGGTACTTAAATGAAAGAGTGAATAACTGTTAACCTGGGAGGCTGTGGCACTCAACCGTCTCAAAATTGGGCAACTGAGCATTTGGTCATCCTTATCATTCAGCCAAGCTCTTACCCATCCCACCCCCAGCACTCAATACCAAAAAAGCTCCCATGCTCTCAATACTGATCAGAAAGAAAAGATAATGAGGAGATTGGATGAGAAACAATATTTTAGTAGAAAAACTGGAGTCATCCTTGTGTGATCTGATTTTCCTGTCTGTTTTTGCAGTTACTCTGCTCTACTCTGTGATCCAAATTCCTCTGCCATGCCTTCTCAAGAGCCTGCCCCTCTCTTCTGTAGGGCTGAATGCTCTCAGTGGTAGGGAACGCTCTGTCTCCAGTAATTTTAAGAGAAACTCCAAGTGGGGAGAGCAGGCATCTGAGTATGTGAGGCTTTTGGTGTATCAAGAGCATCATAATTTAATTTTATTGTGGTGGTCCTGTTGTGTTATATAAAGATTAAACAAAGGTTGACCTTAAAGCAAGTCTTTGACACATGATTCAGTCTTCACTGTGTTTTAGAAGACTGCCCACTAAATTCATGGATTTAAAAGTAAAATATCGCTGTGTTGCTGTGATATATTGTAGTATTCTCACTCATGTCTCATTTCTATTGGCTTCAGTGGGAAGTTATGCTAAATGACAAGTGAGGAACTGAGGCGCTTATATTTCAGTGAATTGCCTAAATGAAATAAAAGTGTGTTTTAGAGAACTTATTCCTACAACTGAGTGAAACTGCATGGGATGTAGCAGGATTGGGGCATTTGCCTGCTCTAACTGGAGGTGACAGAAAGTATTTTATTATTACAATTTGATCTGAGTCTCCGTGGAACGAGGCAGAGTTCAGCAGAGAGCAGCTGCATGTTTTGTGCAACAGCTTATAATGTCTTAACGGTAGATGGCTGCTTATTCAGTGGTTGGGAAACTGTTTGGTAACGACTTTTACTACTCGAGTTAACTTTAAAAGACCCTGGTGGAATAAATCAAAGTCACATTGCTATTCATTTCTTCAGTCCTTGCGATACTTAAGGGGTCTCGGTATCAAATGGGACATGTCACTGTTTGTTTGGATAATCTTCATTTATGCTGTCTTCATATAACCTCTTTTGCTGAGACATCGCATTCCTCGTTTTGAAAACCCTCTCTGGAAACTGATAATATTGCATTCCTAATGGATCTGAGCAAGTAATGAGAACCGCATGGGCTGTAATAATTGTTTGCCTATTCGAGACCCAAATTACATCTCAGATCATTTATTACTCTAGTTCTGGAGTGGACTGTGTAAATTCCTGTTATTATTTTTATTTACCAGCTCTAGAGGCATTCAGATAAGTATGATCTCTGTTCAGTAAGTGGAAGAGACTGGCAAAATGAAGAAAAACTGAGGTCAGTTTGTTTGTCTGTGTAGTTCAAAGCTTAAAGGAGGATGACCACGAGCCAGCACTGTGCCCTTGTGGCCAAGAAGGCCAATGGCATCCTGGGGTGTATCAGGAGGGGGGTGGTTGTAGGGCAGAGAGGTTCTCCTCCCCCTCTGCTCTGCCCTGGTGAGACCGCATCTGGAATATTGTGTCCAGTTCTGGGCCCCTCAGTTCAAGAAGGACAGGAACTGCTGGAGAGAGTCCAGCGTAGGGCTACAAAGATGATCAAGGGAGTGGAGCATCTCCCTTCTGAGGAGCGGCTGAGGGAGCTGGGTCTCTTTAGTTTGCAGAAGAGGAGACTGAGGGGAGACCTCATTCATGTTTATAAATATTTAAGGGGTGAGTGTCACGAGGATGGAGCCAGGCTCTTCTCGGTGACAAACAATGATAGGACAAGGGGTAACGGACACAAACTGGAACACAGGAGGTTCCACTGAAATTGGAGAAGAAACTTCTTCTCAGTGAGGGTGACAGAGCCCTGGCCCAGGCTGCCCAGAGAGGTTGTGGAGTCTCCTTCTCTGCAGACATTCAAAACCCGCCTGGACGCCTTCCTGTGTAACCTCATCTGGGTGTTCCTGCTCCGGCAGGGGGATTGGACTGGATGAGCTTTGGAGGTCCCTTCCAATCCCTAACGTTCTGTGATTCCGTGATTCTGTGAGTTTCTGTCTTGACCACAATACCCTGGTTTCAAGGCATCACTCCAATGTGTCGCTGGTAAATTATATGGAATTATTTCATTGTTTTCTTAATCTTTGGTCCTGGATTGTTTTCCAGTTGTGTTGGAGGTTGTGCTCTTTATAGGACATCAGGTTCGATTACATTGAATTCTCAAAATATTTCATAAATTACTATAAGCACAAAGATAAATCACTCCGTATATGACTGGTATCTAGAGAAGACATCTCCATATGTAGGCACTGTGCAGGAGTAGCTATTTTCTTGATTATTACAGGTTATTTTGCTGCATAGGTTTACTCTATTGTTTCTTTTACTGGGGCAGGTTGTACAGCTTCTTTCAGCAAACAGGCCTCTTAGACTAGAACTGCGCACAAACTGTCTGCTGTGTTAGACGCAAGTGTTTTATAGTAAAAGTTTAAAATTCAGGAAAAAACTAAGAAGAGATCCTCTGCTGAAAGGCGAAATTCTTTTGAGTTTATTCCCAATGCAGAAGCAATATTTTCTCATTTTCAGAATGGCTCTGTTATCTTTTAGATTTTGTTTTCTGTTTGAGAAATGGTTTCCTCAAAATATTAGCACAGACAGATGAAAGAAGAAACTCTGAAATCTACCCCAAGTCATATATGAAGGGCTTCATTAATATATAGCTAATGTTTTAGACAGTTTTGCCTTTCACTTCTTTTTAGTCAGAAGGTTGGCTTAGATGATACTAAAGGAGTTATTTAAACTGAATATATTCAAATATGCTTTTAGAGCAGGCAGCTGTACATAGTAATTCCATTTACTGGCTGATAAATAGCGGATCATGCATTTATATTACATGTTTATGCCTTCAGGGAAAGCTTTCATATGAGTACAGTGGATTTTTTTTTTTCCCCCTCAAGAAAATGATCGATGTGGAAATCTCTCTTATTTGTGGTTAAACCAAAACATCAGGCTGATCAGCAGCCTGTAATCAGATCATGCAGTGAAATTCTCAGAAATAATTCTCCCAAAAATGGGCATTTCAACAAGGATTAATGTTAATAGTTCAGTTTGACACTTGCAGTACTCAGAATACGTGTTAATAAGAGGCCATCGAAGATTTCGACTCACTTTGGCCTTTCATTTTTAAAAAGGAGATTTTCAAAGGTACTTGAGGTTTTTTACAAGGCTTGTGAAATCTTGGACATTCTGATATTAAGGAAACAGCCTGAAGAATATTAAACAGACCGAGGAAGCCTCTTGCTGCATTTACAATTTACCTCCCGATGTGAAGGATCTCCTCACTTCTCCCTCATCACACTCATCCTCACCCCTACCTGATCACCCTGTCCAACACTGCACATGGTCTTAGGAATTTGGGGATTTATTGAGCAGGAGAATTTAAAGCCCTAAATAAAGAGATGGCCCAGGACTTCAGAACTCTCCAATGGTCTCAAATGTCTCATGTGCTGGGGAAACTGGGTGGCCAGGACAGAAATTTCCAGTCTGTATTTGGTATGTGTGGATGAATTTAAAATTGTCCCTGTTTAACAAGAGTGTTACTACAGCTGGTAAGTGTATAAAACATTTTGAAGCACAGGCAATAGGACCTGAGGGGGGGACCTTGGGGGATGGACTGGATGATCTTTAAGGTCCCTTCCAGCCCAAACCATTCTGTGACGCTATGAATGTGTGTTTTGAATTGTTTTTACTCATTGACTTCACTAGTTCTTTTGGTTTTTTTAAGGATCACTCAGAAAACCCTCTGGGTGCAGCAGTCACGCTGGCTCACGAGCTGGGACACAATTTCGGAATGAACCACGACACCTTGGAGCGGGGCTGTAACTGCAAAGCGTCTACCGATAAAGGGGGCTGCATCATGAACCCCTCCACTGGGTAAGTGCGAGGGTAAGCACTGGCAAGATGAAGTTATAGTGGAAAATTTATAGTTTCATTTTGTGTCTCGGGAACATCTAAAGGGGGAAAAGAGAAAAACCTCTTCACCACCTGTTAAATCTTCTCGCAGTTATCCCCCTCAAGCCGTAGCAATTAAACTTGTTATCAGAGCACAATGTGTACCATTGTACCTTTCTATTTCCCTGCTGCCAGTGTGAGACAGAAACGCCGTAAGCAACTGGTTAATTTAAAAAAGAAAAGCATAAAAAGAAACAAAACTCAAAACAAACTGCATTGCAAGTGTTGAGTCAGAACTTCACCTTCTCCTCTTGCCAACTGTGTATCAGTCATAATAGGAAATGAGCAGCATCCCAAGGCCAAGACTAAGCTGAATGTGCAGGAAATAAAGTAATGCAGGAAATGTATTATTGGACACTCTGCAAAGCTTTTGTCTTGTGCAGAGAAGATTTTTAGTTTGCACAAACTTTTGCATTTCACCCCTTGTTATAAGTGTGTAGCGGTGTTAGCCTGTGAGCAAACGAAGTCTGTTGGGTCAGTGGGGTTAGGGCTGTTTGATGGCCGGAGGGAGATCTTCCAAGAAAAGATACGAGACACTGTGGGAAACAAAGCCAGGGAACCCGTGGTCATCTCTGAGTCAGTGCTGAAGGGTTGCTGTGCTGGTGATAAAGGCGCAATGTCAATGGAGAAGACTGATGGTTTTGTCGACACAAAAATACAGGCACCTTGACTGAGGTAACTGGTTACAGCTTGCTTCTCTGCATTTTAAATCAGAAAAGTGGATGATACAGTGAGTGAGTTCTCCATGGCCATATTCAGACAAGAACCAATGGGATTAAACTGAAGGAAGAGAGATTTACCAGAGGTTTCTGATGGTAAGGGATGTGCTGGACTGGGTTGCCTGCAGAAATGTTACTGCCTTTGACTGGAAGCTGGTACGAACCAGGCAGACAAATATCTGTCAGCAGTGTCTTGTAGGTACAGCTGGGCTTGCCTTGGGGCAAGAGGATGGTCTAGATGATCTTCTGATGTCCCTTCCAGCTCCAGCATTCCCTGTGGGTGCTTAAACTTCATCTGTTGCTTAAAAAAATCTCTTCTGGGAATGGCGATCAGCTCAGCCTCTGCCGTCTCTCCGTGTTTCTGGGAAAGAAGGGGAGCGATCTGGGAGAGGCCAGGGAGTGCTGGGCAGGATTGCTCCCTGCTGCTCAGCCTAATGGCAGCCCTGGCCCTCCTTCAAAGGCCTGCTGTCACCCTCCTTCGAGGCAGAAATAAGGGATGCTGGCCAGAGGCCAGGCACAGCGAGTTAAGAGACAAACAAAAGGGAGTTGAGAGCGTGGAGGAGAACAAGAGTGATTGCTACAGTTTGGAAAAGAAAAATGGCTTGACTTTCCTGAAGCAAGAGGTAGTAAATATCCGTCTGGAACTGCGTTCTGCAGCACATGTGCACACTGCAAAAACAAACTGAAATTGGGAACAGGGCGCTGAGGTGAGGGGGTGCAGTAGCTGGTAAGCATTGGCAGACAGGTCTGGGCTCTGAGCTCCTCAAAGATGCACACAAGCTTCAGTCGTCTCTGCTGAGTCACTGCTTGGACATCCAGTTATCCGGTTACTCCACATTTGGAAGTAAATGCTCTCAGGACAGAAATCTGTAGACACTTTCTGAACTCATCCTGTGAAGGTCTCTGTAATTCACGTGGTGCTTCCCTAGTTCTGCTCTCTGCACCAGCATCCTTGGGCTGTATCCACATTTGTCCTCTGTGCTGGACGTGCCGGTCCAGACACTTGGCTATGGACAGACCAAGGCTGTAGCTGCTCAGAGTCTTCCTGTCCAAGCATCTCAGCTCACTTCATGTTGGGGTTTGTGGAGCACCTTGCAGGTTAAAGAGTCTGCTTCCTTCAGCAGTGCCGTGCCCAACTCCAGCACTCCCCAGGTTTGACATTTTGGGGAGTGGACCATCAGGTACGCTTCAGCTTTGTAGCCCTTCTGATTTTTACCAAACTTTATATACAGCTTGTGCCTGAGGAAGAGTTGTGGCACACTCAGAACCGAGTAGGCTGTTTTGTTTGCAGTGATTATTGATTTATAAGTGGAAATTTTAACATCAGGTTTATCGCCTTAGGCTTTACGTTCACACTGCGCTGTTGATCTGTAATAAGTATTCCAGGAGAATGCTTTATGCCTGAAGCCAAGCTGCGTTTTACCAATTAAAAATTAACACTTTGAATATTTACCCAACATCTCGCCAACAGTAGTGTTCCTCTGAGCACCATTATTCAAGGAGCACTGAAGAGTTTTGGGCTCTGGACGTATGTGTCTGTTAAGGGAAGGCCAAATTAATATTCCCTACTTGAAAAACATCCTTGGAAGAGGAAAAGCATCAAAACAAAGAGCATCCCAGGGAAACCACATCCATTTAGAGAGACAGCCTGCTCTCTCGCTATACTCACTGGCACTCACTCTGTGCTCTTCTAATTTCTGTTGGTTTAAGGTAGATTAAATAAGTGCAAAAAAAATAAACATTGGGCTGAATCTAGTGTAAAAAGTACAGGCCCCTGAGAAATCCTTGTGTGATATCTAAAAAGAGTAGGAAATATCTGGACTGTAACAGAAAAGCCCCTGTAAACTTAACTTCGGAGTCATTTGTGAGGTTGTGCAGCAGAAGGGAAGGTTTGAAGATTTTTTTCACTTAAAAGTGATTTCATTAATTATTGCCATCTTCTTTCAGTTCTTATGTTTCAGTCTTTGAAGAGGCCTTGGAAATTACTTCTTGGTGGAAAAAATCTCCAGGGATCAGTGTGGAATTTGAACTCTGTTGGATGTGTCCTTTAATGAGCTTCCTATAGCTTTTACTCTTACAGGGTACCACCAAGATGTGTACAACTTATGTGTGAGCTACACATGCCTTAAAGACCCACTACTTTAGCAAAACATATTTTGCATAACATGGAATTAAGCATATAAAACCCCAGATTTGTGCCACTCCAGGCCTTTTAGAGATTCGAGTATCTGCTATGTAAATGACGTAAATCCCTCTGTAAAAGAAGTTGGGGGTTTTTTTTGCTATGAAACTTGTATCCGTGAGGAAATATTTAACACTAACACATTTTTTCCCTTTTTTTAATGCATATATTTTAATGATATTCCTTCAGTTGCTTTAGTTGTTTTGACCATAGACTGTTCCAAGGAAAAAGAAGGATGTAAGGAGTCTTTAAAGAGATTCCCAAAACTTTTTACTGAGATCACAGCATCTCAGAAATAAAGGACCAGGCTGACTCAGCGAGGCCATTTCAGTATTCCACGGGTTTTCCACGCATCTCCCTCAAGTTTCCACTCTTAGCAGTGAAAATATTCTTCCTGACAGCTAGATAAATACCTAAGAGTTCTGGTGAAACCCAGGGCATTACTCTACTTTTATACCTGTGCAACTAAAAGCAGAATTCAGCACAAGGTGGGGGGCAAAATTACTCCAATTAGCAGTGCTTGTTTATTAAACTTTGGAAATGCACTTTTTATGTGCTCCTTCATCAAAATTGAGCACAGGTATCTTCGTGGGGGTTGAAACTGGGTGAGTTCCCCCAAAGTAATTGCAAGCTTAAGAGTTCATGTATGCTTGAAATTTCTTGCCAGCCTTCAGGGGAGCAAAAATTTTATAGTTAGCCTTCTCCTTTCCTGTAAACCCGAGAGTTCATATATAATGAAAGCTGCTTTCCTTGTCTCCTCGTGGAAGTGTGTTGCTCTTACCAGGATCATTTCTTGTTGCCGAGTCATCCCAGCCGTGGCTAATTGAGATGCCAGGCAGGCTGCTAGGACACAGCCGTTTGGTTCATCTCTCTTTGCGCTGCCGTAGACAGAAGCAGGTTTTCTCCATGCTGATACAAAAGAGGATGATGGGCAAAAGGCTCCTCCAGTCCCATTTGCACCTGGCTATGGGAATGATAGAGATTTTCTCCTGTTCATCCCATTTCTTTTGTTGTACACATCTCATGAGATGAAACACCTCATGGTGACCTGGTGCTTTAACCATAGGCTGAAAGCTGTCTTTACAGCTGACCCCACTTACCCCATTGCACTGAAACTACAGATGGGAATGCAAACCCACTTGGAGTTTGTCCCTGCAAACAAGTAGGAAGACAGGAGGGGTTTGCACTGAGGAACCGTGACCATATCTGCAAGGATGTGCCTTCAGATGCCCTTGAACTCTGGCATCAAGCACCCTCACTTTGTGTCCACTCTTCCAAATCTCACTGCACATCAAGCACAGCCAGGCAGCAGGTCCTGTAAGTCCACTTCAGCTCTTATTTCTACCTTGTAAATTGGTCCTCTTCAACGACCGTGATGAAGAAAAGATGAAATAAATGCAAAATAATTGAAAATAACAAATCCTTAGCAAAAGAAAAAGCACTGTATGGGTTCAAGTCATGAAACAAGTAGTGTATATTTAGAAATTGGATAACCTTAGAGGTCTCTTCCAAACCTTAGAGGTCTCTTCCAACCTTAATGATTTTATGGTGTGTGAGAGATGTCTTGGCCATTGCTATTTTGAATGAGACTTTTGAATGATACAATATCTCTTCAGAAACTCCTCTTTTAATCTAGGTCCCTGGTAGACTCTGGGTAGACTCTGTTGCAAGAGTTGCCTTGTTCCAGGGCAAATGCTGCTTTGCATCCCAGTGATGGCAGGAAGCACCAGGCACTGAAAGCCATTTGGTGCCACGCAGGAAGGTCTGGGCCAGTAACATAAACCAGGAAGCAGCTTCTCCGTGGTAATTTCTCCACACAACTCCTCCTCTTCGTCACATTCCTTTCAGAGTAACGTCAAATAATTAATTAAATGCCTCTATGCCTGCCTTTTTTTTGCTGTTATCTTGGATCCTGCGTTACCATTTCCATTTTCACAGCTGAAATTTCAAGTCAGTGTATCTTTCTGATGCAGCCAGGTTTTAAATTCAATTTATCTGGATAAATTTGACGGTGTATGTTA